GAGGGGCAAGCATGGTGGGCTGGGCGCTCGATGGAGCCAGGCCAAGGTGTGGGCTGGGGTTGAGGCCAGTGGCTGCCACCAAGCTCTTACTGGGTTCTCCCCAATGGAGCTGGAGGTGAAGCTCATCTCTGGTGCCACTGGCAAGTCAAAACCCAGCTGTGCTTGAAACACATCAAACCTGTCCCAGTTCCAGACAGGAGAGCGGGCAGGTTGCAAACGTGTGACAAACGAAGGTGGTGGCTTCTGTGGAGCAGCTCTGCTGCCGATGCTTCTAACGCATCTGAGGATGTCAAGATTGCTTCTGGAGGGATGTGTCACTGGAAAGATTAATTAGCTCTGGGGAAATCCATAGGGTGCTTTTTGGCACAGCAGCTCCCACTGTAACTGCTGTAATAAAGGTCATATGTAACGAAAACAAACAGTTTTCCCAAAGTGGAGCTTCCCATGTGTAACCAAAGAGCAGGAGAAATGAATACAGAAACTTTTTTTTCCCCCTAAGACCTTTGGGAATCTGGTCAGGGAAAATCTTGTTATCATGGGCAGTCCTGTGCACTAGAAGGGAAAAAAAATGGGCTTCTCTAGCCAGAGAGCATACCAGTGTCACGAGCGTTTCACTCCATGATGTCACTGTTGTTCTGCTGAAACTGTGCAGGGCAGCAGATAGCATCAGCTAGCAGAGAAAGCCTCAAACATTATCAACCAGCAGAGAAAGCCTCAAACAGCACTGAGGAGAAAGCCTCAAAACACTAACTGTCTGTTCTGGTTATTGTAAAGAACGGTTTAAATGCCAGGCCTGTTTAAATGTTAATTGCCAGCTTGTATGATTTAATATTCCTTTCTTTATGTTGGCCTCCTGAGCATTTTGTTAGTATTTTCAGGCTATGTGGTGTGGAAATAACCTGTTGAGTGTGGTGGTAGGACTGGGAGCTGACCTCGAGGTCGCTTTAGCCCCACTCATTTCTCCAGCCTGCACTTTACATGAAGTGCTCTCATGAAGTGGTGGCCATGGAGTCAGCAGGTAGAAGAGGTGCTTCTGGTAGGGCCCTCAGAGTGGAGTACAGTCGTAGTATTTGTCTTGGGACATGGAAGAGGATAAAGGTGTAACCTGTGGGTGTTTGTCAGCGGTCTGGTTGTTTTCTGCCAGCACTTTGTGGTCTCAGAGGTGAGAGTCTGAGCTAACCTTGTGTGTCTGGCAACCCTATTAACTGGTCTGTATGTTGCTATCACAGGAAGTTCATGGTTTTGCTTTCTCACTGAGTTGTGAAACACTTATTAATAAGATTACCTGGCATGAGCAAAGTTGGGGTGGAGGGGGAAGAGGAAGTCACTCCTTTTAGACCACAGTTCATCAGAGAACACTGGGATGCACCAAGCTCTACTATGCTTTGTGGTCTCTCTGGTTTCTCCAACTTAATCTGGGAGATCAGGAGGACATGTTTCAAAGGTAGATGTTGAAAACAGCTGCTGCCCCAGGTGACAAATGCTCACTGCAATCAGGTTGTCCTGTGGTGCAAATTCTACTGTCTCATCTTACCTTCCCAGTCCCAACAGAGGTTAGTCACAGCATGGGTATGCTGTGATAAATTGCTTTGGTCTCCTGGAGATTTACTTTGCTTTTCTTCACAGCCTGGGACAGTTACACACCTGTACCTGGATAGTATTTGTAGGACCTGATGAAGCTGTTGTGCTTGTTGGAGAGTACAAGGGCAAGCTTGAACCATGAAAGTGCTGACTGGTAGTGCTTTTGCAGAAGAAGGAAGTCACTGAAAACAAAAAAAACATCTTATATACTGAGCAGAGACGCTGTCTGAATGGCATGTTCTCAACTGGCAAAATGGTCTTATTTTGTTTGTGCATATCCGGATGGTGATGGCCTGATCTGTGCTTGACATCAAGTCTCTGTTGTGGCATTTGAAGTATTTAGACACCTATTTGGTCCCAAGCTCAGAGCCAGTGGGAGCTACAAACCGGTAAAGCCGCACCAGATGCTCAAAGGTCAGATGTAGAAATAGACACCTGCCCTCAAGTATACCTTCAGCATTTCCTGTTGTGTTAGGGTTTTTTCTGTGCATACATGCTGAAGTTCTCTGCTGATGTTGTCAGTCAAGGACACATTGTCTCACTGACTGTACATTCCCCCTCTCAGGACGGAGGAAGCTGTGCTTTCCAGGTGCTGCTTGTTTAACTTGGAGGTGGAGGCGCTGGGCACGTGTGACGACAGAGTGACGTGCACCACTATGGGTGTGTGGGTAGCTCTACAGCTGTGTGCCCACATCTCAACCAGCTGAGGCATCTCAATGTGTGAAGTGCCTGAGATCTGAGATTGCTGCAGTACCTCAGGGTCAGTACTCAGTTGTGGATATCAGATGGATGTGGCAAATCTCTTTGAAGAAAGAGGAAGCTGTCAACTCCAGCGTATGGGGGAATTAGACGTATGCAATCAGTTTTGAAGGAGGTGGTTTTCCAAGTGTTGGATACGTATTTTTCTTAAGAAGCAGAGAAAATGGTCTGTCAGGTGCACCCCATTCAGAAGCGATGGCATGGGATATATCTGTATTCCCTGGCAGATGGGGAATATTTTCTCTGGGAAGGGATCAGGACCTTGAGGGACCTGCAGTGTAGAGCTATGGTGTATGGTATTGTACTCATATGTGCAGTTCAGTTGCAAAAGTTGTGAAGCTCTTGAATGGGAGAGCACTCTGAAGTGATGGGGCGCTAAGACATAAGGGGCAGAACAACTGTACTTTACAGCTGCTGGAATTCCCTTTGCTTTTTCTTGGCAGTGGAGAGAGTGGTGCAGGGAAAACTGAGAGTACGAAGTTATTGTTGCAGCACATAATGAACCTATGCAAAGGCAACTCGCAGCTGGAGCAGCAGATCCTTCAGGTAGGTCCGTTTGGGATAGTGCTTGAAGATGCAGAAGCAGCACTGCTGCAAGACAACTTGTATTAGGCTCAGAAGCCTGCTGATGATTCACCACTGGAATGCAGGGAGCAAAACATCAGGCACATAAGAAAATCCAGGGTAAGGATGGTGAAATAGCTGACCACAAATTAGAAGGGTTCGTAGGACGGTAATTCTGTTTGCTGGGAATGTAGTGGTATCTTAATGATAGAAAACTATTGCAATTGTTTATCATGTTCTCTGTGACAAGGCATTAGGGGCATTTTTCTGAATAATTTCCTGTTTGAGGCAGAACAAGGACTTTTATTAGAAAAACGAAGTCTTTGTTTAGTGGTACACAGGGATCTGCACAGCCTTTCCTCGGCTAGGAATATTACTGCCACGCACATACCTGCTAACTGGCTAAGTTAATCTTTGCCCTTTTCATATACCTTTGCTGGCTGATTTTGAAACATACTTGTCTCTTTGGTCTGATGTATTTCTACTTAAACTGCTCCCCAAGGAGTTGTGAGGCTTTTTGAACAGATCATACTTCAGCTTTCCAAATGATAGATTAAGCAGAGTGAGTTCTTGGACTCTTTCATTTGTAAGTCTGTGTTTTCAGGTTTCCTGTAGAGCCAGCGAGATCTTTCCGTGTGGGGTGGTTAACTTTGGCTGGACACCCAGTGACCACCAAGCAGTTCTATCACTCTCCCTCCTCAGCTGTGCAGGGTGAGAAAAATAGGATAAAAGGCTCATGGGTCAAGAAAAGGGCAGGGGTATCACTCAACAATTACTGTCACAGAAAAAACAGACTTAACTTAGGAAAAATTAATTTATTGCCAGTTATCATCAGAGTAGGGTAATAGGAAGTAAGAATAAATCTTAAAACACCTTCCTCCCACTCCTGCTTTCTTTGTGGGCTCAACTTCACTCCCAATTTCTCTACCTTCTCCCCCTGAGCAGCATAGAGGGGTGGGAATGGGGACTATGGTCAGCCCATCACATCACACAGATTTCTGCTGTTCTTTGCTCCTCACTCTCATCCCCTGCTCTGGTGTGGGATCCCTCCCACAGGAGACAGTCCTCCAAGAACTTTTTCAATGTGAGCCCTTCCCATGGTCTGCACTTCTTCACAAACTGCTACAGCATAGGTCCCTCCATGGGGTGCATCCTTCAGGAACAGGCTGCTGCAACGTGAGTCCCTTCCATGGGGTGCAGACCTTCAGGCACAGGCTGCTCCAGCTTGGGTCACCTGCAGGGTCCCAAGTCCTGCAGCAAACCTGCTCCAGTGTGGGCTCCTCTCTCCATGGAGCCACAGGTCCTGCCAGGAGCCTGCTCCAGTGTGGGCTTCCCACAGGGTCACAGCCTCCTTTGGGCATCCCCCTGCTCCAGTGAGGTCCCCCATGGGCTGCAGGTGGATCTCTGCTCCACCATGGACCTACATGGGATGCAAGTGGACAGCCTGCCTCCCTATGGGCTTCACCACAGGCTACAGTGGAATCTCTGCTCTGGTGCCTGGAGCACCTCCTGCCCTCCTTCTGCACTGGTCTCCTCTCTTCCGGCTGCAGTTTTGCAGTAGTTTTTCCCCTTCTTAAATATGTTCTCCCAGAGGTGCCACCACTGTCCCTGATGGGCTCAGCCTTGGCCAGCAGCGGGTCTGTCTTGGGGGCGGCGGGGGGGGGGGAAGCTTCATGCAGCTTCTCACAGAAGCCACCCTGTACCCTCCCCGCTATCAAACCCTTGGCACACAAACCCAATACACTGTGCCATACTTTGGGCTCTGGAATGACATACTATTTCAGTGTGGTGTCATCCACCATAGATCCATGGTGAATGCCTGTGCTTTGGTGTAGGAACGTGGCATCAGTACACGTGCTGGTCCCACACAGGCTGGCTTGGGCCGGACTGCCCAGCTGTTTCTGACCTGGGTAGCTGTGTTTGCTGAACATAGTGCCTGGAGCTAGCCTATGATTCCTCAGTTGGAAAAACAGTTCACTTCAATCCAGGTGAGCTGCCTTTGGCAAGATTAGAGGTGACAGTGAAGGAATAATAGGCATCTTACTTGGTTCCTGTAGGTACATTCAAGAGCTATGTTAGGCCTTT